GAAAGTATCTTCCTGCTCCCCATCAGTTAATATAGTAACAACAGCTAGTTGTCATACACTTTCCATCTGTCGATCTCAAAACACCTCCCAAAGGAGGGCACTCTCAGGGGTGGATTAACACATAGGCAAACTAGGCACGTACCTAAGGCCCAAATTCATGAGGGGCCCAACCCAAAGGGCACTGTGACCCCCTGTGCCCTGGCACAATGCCACTTGCTCAGATTTGGCCCGACCTCCCCTCTGTCATCACACAGGGCCCCGGGGTCAAACCTGAATGGCCAGTGGGGCGGCTAATGCTGCTTCTCACAGCTTCCATGGGGCTGGCTCCTGCACCGGGGCTGGCTCCTGCACCAGGTCTCCCCACTTTGGGCCTTCCTGGCCTTGTCCCACTTCCAGCACCCCTGACCCCTCTGCTCTGCCCACTCAGCGACAGTCTTGAAACCTGTTAGCAGTACAGGGAGCTGCCGTGAATGCCCACATGGGGAAGCTGGCCCAAGGAGCCCAGCGGGTGGGACATGTGGGGTAGTGTCTGGGCAGCAGGAGCCAGTCACTGACTGACCTGGACAAAAGAGGGTTAACTAAGCAACATCTGTGTGGTGGGAGCCAGATGTGTTTGGGTTAATAGATCACTAGTGCAACTGTGCTGGCCAGGACACTGTTAATATAAATGTGCCCACGCCATGGGAGCATCTAGTTTAGCTGGCCAGCAGAGGGGCCCAGAAGTGTATGTTTGTCTAGGGCTCAGTGATGGGTTAATCCAGCCTTGGTGGTTATCATTATTCCCATTTTACGGATGGGTAAACTGAAGCACAGGGAATGGAAGTAACTTGCCTAAGGTCACTTAACAAACCAGTGGCAGAGGCAGGAATTGAAGCCAGGGTTCCTGAGTCCCAAGCCTGTTTGGCTTATGCTCTGAGCAGGGGTTTTATATCCCTTTCAAAATTCTGCTTTGTTTTTAATCCTTACAATTGTAACTCCACATTGTGCTGTTACAACATTAGCTGGGTGTTAGAACAAACAAAACATTTCCCCCTCCCACCTAAATTTGCACGCTGCCCTAAAAATAGAAATGGGACCAGATTTTCAGCTGTGTAAATTCGCATAGGTCCCATACCAGTTCATACCAGCTATTTTGCCTGGGTTGTTTATCATCATCTGTAAGTTTCAGTTCGCCCACAGCACATTTCAGAGAGACGACAGGATGTGCTAAAAGCACATTTGAATTTTTAAACAATGGCTGGGGTCTTATGTTGTCGAAAAACCATCTTGGAGTGTGTACTGGACAAGTCCAATGAAATGCTGCGTATTCCATGCGTTTTCTGTCTTCCTGAGGGAAGCGCTGGTCAGGGGAGTGGGTGTTAGAAGAATTAGCAAAGGAATGTGCAGGACTCAATCTGGTGTTTTATTTGCATTTTTGCTCACACCTTTTGTGTGCAAAATTGGGAACTGAACGTTTTTAAGAGATGGAGTTCCCTGTGCTGTTGGCAAGTCCCACAGCATCCCAGCTGGCCTCTCTACAGCTATTGATTAAACAGTAACATTGCCAGGAGTTCTCCATCCGTCACTGTGATGGGAACTCCAATCAGGAAAACACAAGAGCGAAAAAAAAAGCCTTTACAATGACAACCTGCAACTCACTAAATGAAGAATAAAAAACGATTGAACACCCTATAAATATTTATTGGCATGGCAATAAGAGAAATTTGCTTTTGTGTTAAAGGGCTTGAGACTGGATTTGCTGAGCAATGAGTCAGAGAGAGAGAAACCGTCTCCAGTAAGAGAGAAAGTGGACTGAAAACGCTTTATAGCTGTTGGATTGTGATAGGGCGCGGTTAGGTGAGAGATTTTACCTTAGTCTCTTCTTTAAGTCCATTAATGGCTATTAGCCAGGATGGGTAAGGAATGGTGTCACTAACCTCTGTTTGTCAGAGGGTGGAGATGAGATGGATGGCAGGAGAGAGATCACTTGATCATTACCTGTTAGATTCACTCCCTCTGGGGCACCTGGCATTGGCCACTGTCGGTAGACAGGATACTGGGCTGGATGGACCTTTGGTCTGACCCAGTATGGCCATTCTTATGTTCTTATGTTTAATAAAGTGAATTTGATTGGGCTGCTGACAGTGAGTAGCGGGCATGGGAAGTCACCTCATGTCCCTGACCCCTCGGGATGCTAGTACAGCCTAGCAGAGTTGAATCTGTCCAAACTGGGCTAACCAGTGTGGTACAGAATGAGCTTTCCCTTCTCCCTGTGCAGCCCGAAGTGTGTGGCTACACCTGGCTGATAAACCCCCGTCGGGGAAGAGTTTACGCTGTAACGCTTCTCGCTCTTTGACGTTTGCAGTAGAGACAAGTCTGTTACGAGACAGGTCTGTTACAAGACTGTGATGTAGAGTAAGTCCTTGAAGACCCGGTTCCCCACACTCCTCTCCTCTCACTTTCCTTATTCTCTTCTCCTCTCATTATTTTCAAGTAGCTCTGATGGTCCTCGGAGCAGCCCCAGAAACTCATGTAGCTCAGGCCCTCATCCGCCTGTGAGGATATTTATGCAGACAGACTGATTAATTCTTCCCTCCTGAATTCCAAGCAGCGTGGGCCTGCTCGCTGTGTCTGAGACTTACACGGCACCAAACTGAGCTTGACAGCTCAGGAAGATGGCAGTCCCTTTGGCTTCAGACAAGGAGAAGGGTTTGTGGGGGAGTCGATCTGAAATCAATCGTTGACACAGCTGGGGTCTTCTCTTCAAGAAGCCTGGGCCAAATTCACGGGGGATGTACTCAGTGGGGCTATGCCCAGTGGCAATGTGACCCCCTGAGCTCTTAGAGAGAACCGTTTCCATCCAGAAATTCTTTATGTGGAAAGGTCCTTCTAGATTTCTTTGAAGGAAACTCAGCATTTTTCTAAACCTGTCTTAATTTCTAGCTTCTGAGCTTCCTTTAAAGAAACAAACAAACAAACAAAAAGGATGCTAGCTTCTTTTGAAAGCTCTTCTGAGGTCAGACCTGTGTAGTAGTGACACAATCCATGGCCCCTGAGGGCTTTTGTGGATTTTAAGGCCAGGCGGGATCATGTTAATTCTCTAATCTGACCTCCTGCATCACACAGGCTAGAGAACCGATGCTGAGCCCATAACGTCTGTTGGAGCCATAGCAGAAAGACATCCAGTCTTGGCTTAGAGCCAGCAAGTGATGGCGAATCCATCACATCGCTAGGTGAGCACCATGGCCCTGAGGCTTGCTGAGCAGCCTTGTTGCTCAGAACTCCACCGTGACCAAACTCACATCCAAATATACAGACCCTTACCCTTTGAGCTGACAGAGAACCTCTCCTAAATGTTAGCCCTGGGGCTCGCTGGAAAGCAGTGAATCTATTTTGCAAAGAATTTCAAAGTTTTGAAATTTGTTTTCATTCTGTTACGGAATGAAACCGAGGCCTTTGGAATTTTTTCACAAGAAAACAAAAACAGTAACGCGAGATACCTTCCCACTCTGGAATCCAGGTTAAAGTCATTGCTTTGAATGAGGCAGAGTGGGGACTGGAACCGGGATCCTCCATATCAGATGAGTGCTTTAACCACTGAGCTAATGACTATTCACACTTTTTGGTTTGGAATCAATGGCATTTTTCAGTGGAAAAGATTCACTGACATCTTTTCAACCAGCTCCAGTTAGCACTATTGGGTTTATGATACAAAGCTGAACAGTTCTGAGTCCCTCCAGCAGGGGGCAGTCATGCACATACACACTGGCCAGTTCCTGACGATACCATGGTACGCAGCATTCTGTTTTGTTTTGGTAGCGAAATCTTGGAAGGGACTCTGTAAGTGAGCAAGTCCAGCCTGTCAGAAAACAAAGTGCCCATTAGAGTCTAAATGGACTGCCATTTCCCAGGTCTCATTAGCTGGCAGGCAGTTTAAAATGAACAAACTGGTGTGTGAAGGCAGCTAAAAGGGAGAAAAGGGGTTCTTTTTTGTGGTGTGAGAACCTGTGGCCACTGTTTCTGGGGGTCAGATAGCTTGGTCTCCCCAGCCATTTCAACCTTTCCTTGGCTTTTTTGCTGATGATGCCAACAATGGTGCCAATTAGTATCAAAGATGATGATGATTTTGGTGCTGTGGACAATTGGATAGTCTGAACTGGATCTGGCTCTCCACCCATTCAAGAGAGGGCCCGGACAGGCCTCAGATGGCAACATCGTCACTCGCCATTATAATTTAACTTTTTTCTGGTAGAGCCCACAATGTGCCAGGTGCTGAACAAATGGAAGGGAAGGCGCGGTCATTGCTGACCCATTCTGGAGTCCCACCAGCTAATTAGAAAAGAAAGTCTTCTTCTAATCATCCTTTGCCACCCATCCACTCCAGATCTTATACCAAGGTCATTGACATCAGAACCTTGACCTGTGTGCTTAATTCAGGAGAAGACCAGTAATGTGATTGTCGTACTGTACTTTGCTTTTTGTCAGCACTATTACAGACTAAAGCCAGTTCCTGCTCTGACTTACATCCCATGCAACCCCACTGTAGTCAATGGGTTTGCACTCGGTGTGTCCATCTGTACTGGGGTCACATCTAGCAATCCCAGACAAGGCTCAGGACTCCATTGTGCTAAGCACTGTGTAGACAAGTACCGAGAATAGTCCTCGCCCAAGGCAGCTAACAGTCTAGCCATGCCAGAGGTGGACAAAACAGAGAAATGAGGTTGGGGTCTGTTGGAGAGGGAGGTAACAAAAGAAACAGTTTGGCAAAAAAATAGAAGTCACAACCCTAATCAGGGCCTGATGGGAATGGCTTGTAGGCAGCACAACACAATAGGGCTTAAGTAGGGATTTTAAAGAGTTTTGATGAAGGATTTTCCCTGTACATTGGGCTTGGCATGTGGGGGCTGACGGCTTGATATTATCAGCTAGTTCTTACACTGGTGCGAATCACTGAAGATGTTAATGGGTCAAAGCTGGACAGATCCACTTGAGTCATTACTGTTGTCCTTTCCTTTCCACAGGAACCTGATGCCACGGACTCTAGAGGGGCAGATCACGATGGAGAAAACCCCGAGTTACTTTGTGACCAAGGAGGCTCCCAAACGTATTTACAACATGTCCAGGGAAACCAAGCTGATTGTGGTGGTGAGGAACCCGGTCACCAGGGCCATCTCAGACTACACGCAGACACTATCCAAAAACCCCACCATCCCCAGCTTCCAGGCTCTGGCTTTCAAGAATGTCAGCACGGGCCTCATCGACACCACCTGGAGTGCAGTGCGGATCGGCATCTATGCCAAGCACCTGGATAACTGGCTGCAGTACTTCCCCCTTTCAAAATTCCTCTTTGTCAGCGGGGAAAGACTCGTGAGTGACCCGGCTGGGGAGATGGGCCGAGTGCAAGACTTTTTGGGTCTCAAGAGAGTCGTGACGGACAAACACTTCTATTTCAATGAGACCAAGGGCTTCCCTTGCCTGAAGAAGCCCGAAGGAAGCAGCCGGCCCCGCTGTTTGGGGAAGTCCAAAGGGCGACCTCATCCAAAAATCCACGGGCAGGTGATCCAGCGCCTGCAGGAGTTTTACAGACCCTTCAACATGAAGTTCTATCAGATGACTGGGCAGGACTTTGGGTGGGACTGAGATCTCACCAGGCCAATGGCTTTCTAAGCCACAGTGGAGAGAGGACAACTAGTCCGCTTAGCAGACCTACAGGGCCCTTGGCACATTGTGTGCCAAACTTCCCAGGGACTCTAGCATAGGTGTGTCCAAGGCAAACTTTTGGAAGACACTTCCCATGTTCTAATTTATAACGGACTTGTTCCTGGAGAGAAATGTACACTTACTGACTAGAGAGAAATATTTAAGAAAGAAAAACAAACAAACAAACAAACAAAAAAACCCCAACCCCAGATCAGATTAAATATTCTTCCATATAAATCTTGCTAATCTATATTAACCAGAACGGTTTTCAGATGGTGAGAGAGAGAGAGAGAGAGTGAGCGTGAGTGTGTGCAGTGACAAAGGCACTAAGATTCACAATAAAGCTTTGCAAATCAGAGTTGGCCTCCTAATGCTGCTCTTTCTCTGACTATACTGAGAGTGCTGTAATATTCACAATCAGCCATCCCGACCCTTTTAATTAGCAGGCGAAAGGGCCCTAGACACCAGTGCTGTGTTGAGGTCTTGGATGCCTTCCTTACAAAGGGACACTGTAAAGATAACTGCAGCCAGGTTCAAAGCTGCTGTACAGCAATGTAGGTCCATTGACTTCAAAGGAGCTAGGTTGGTTTACACCAGCTGAGGCTCTGGCCTGGTATATTAAAAACACTAATGACTTATGATAATAACATGTTAGGAGACTGATCTTGCTCCTCCCATTGGAATCAATGGAGTTTTGGCCATTGACTTATTGGGGCCAGTAGCATGCCCCAGTTTAAAAAAAAAATCTTATTTCTCTATTACTTTTTATGCTATTTGTTTTTCTTTGTGCTTCACTCAGTTGGGCCAGTGAGTTTTGGCCTAGATCCTCAAAGGCACCTAACTTCCCTCCACATACCTTTGATGATCTGGGCCTATGTGTTTCTAGTCAACTTCACTTTCCAGTGCCTACGCCCTGCAAGTTTGGTTTTCGGTTTCCCATGCTTCAAGAGGACATGGATGCTCTCCTCTTCCCAAAATTCTCTTTTTCCTTAAAATGTACAATAAATAAAATAAAATGTTGTGTTTATTAGAGTTTTGTAAAAGCCCTTTTAAAAAAGACAATCTGAATTTTGGACCTAAGTCATGTTTGGTGTCCTTAGAAACAGTTACCTGGTTTGATAGTTTCGGTCAGATCTGCAAAAAACAGGACACAATGAATCTACAAAATAATACAAATCTGTGGGTGATTTATTGTTATTTAAAGGCTTGATTCTCCCTCAGAAGTCAGTGGGAGTTTCAGTGAGGGCAGAATTGTCTTAAATGCACAGGGTAGAATGTTGACCCTCTCTGAAGTTAACGGCAAAAGTCCCATTGACTTCAGTTGTACAGGATTTTACCCACAGTTCTTTTCTGGCTAAACTGTTTGCATTAAAAATTCTATTCTGGTGTGGTTTCAGGAACATACAATACTGACAACTCTGGGCAAAAAAGAGTAGAAAAATCTCCTGTTCTTAATTGTGACAAAAGTTGCAGCTCTACAAAATTATTATAAAAATTTACTAGGCCACATCACAAAATCTGCTTGCCAGCTCTTTTCCCCAGGAGAATACAAAATTATTGGTACTTTGTCAGTCCAAATATTATTTGTCTTGGTGGGTGGTCAAGTAGCATATGACAAGGTTGGACAGAAGAATGGTAAATTGGCAAAGTTTGAAATAAAAGGAAATATTAATTCTGTCCCTAATAAGCAAAATCGTCTTAAGCACATAGTCAGCTTTAAATTGGTACTTACATGTAATTGACCTCAATGGGAGTTAAGCACCTGCTTAAAGTTTAGCAGGTGGTTAAATGCTTTGTTGAATCAGGGCCTTTACAGCTGAGTCAAAACACTCATTGAATAGAATGGGACCACTCACATGCTAAAAGCTTAGACACATGCTCAAGTACCTTGCAGGACTGGGGCCCTGTTTTCAGAATGGCACTTTGACCATTTTCTCTTTCCCATTTTGCAGCTGGCTCTGCATCTCTCATGTTGATTTTTATTGAGGCGAGCTTCCTTTCTGAGATTGGGCAGTGACTGGCATTTGATGATACATCTGGTCGAACAGCGAATCCAGAGAATGGTGTATTTTTCCTGATTTAAAATAGTCTGAAAGAATAAAAACAATTAGCAGCAGTAGTTCTGAATATATTCCAGATCCGGTTGCATTGTGTATCACATGCAACACAGGTGATAAAGTTGGAGACCTCCAAGAGTAAGGACAAATATCCCCCCCTCCCAGGAACAATTTTGCCAAAGAACATATAGCAAAAAAAGTCTGACCTTTAGCCCAGTGCCTACCAATCGGTTTCCAGATTTGCAGCCACAAAGGGCAGTCATCGGAGGCCGGTGGAATGAGTTTCAAGTTTTCTCATAATTAAAGAGGGGCAAAAAACACTTCAACCTTTCATAATCTTATTAGTGACTTGTTTGTCTTTTTAAGTAGTTCATTACATGGTTTTGAAGGGCCCCAAGGCCCTGCACGGTTTTGTACTATGTGATAGATCCATTCGATTCCAGTACAACATAGTCTCAGTGCTGGCTATCCTGTAAGGCGTAGGGTTGACTTGCTGTTTCAATGGTCACAAGCCACTGGTTGCAAACCATCCCGGCTGCATTGTTAAACACAAATGTTAAACTCTTTCAGGTAGCCCATGTTTTCCTTGACAAATACAATGTAAGCAAAGAGCCTCTGCCCTTTCCAATGCGTCCCTTAGTGCTCCAGTCATTCTCCAGATTGATTTTGCATCTGGCATTTTAGATGGGGTGTTTTTAGTTGGTTTGCAATACATGTTGCTAAAGCTTCTCCCACTTCTTTGCTTTTTCTACAGTAAGAGGCTCCCCTTTGTTCTTCTTCAGTGGCATTTCTTTTCTATGGGTGGCGCTTAAAGCCTCTAAACTCACGGCTAACGGTCAGCGCTTTAGTCTGTTTCAGACAGGAGGCTAATCTGTTTACTGCTGCAACAAACGATGCACAAAATGATGCAACTCAATGTCAGGTCTAAGTTGAACACAAACATCTCAGCTATTTATATATTGAGAGATGGAGAGAGAAACGTGAACTTTTTTTGGTATACCTTGGAAATAGACATGACTTCTAATTTGCATGGTCTTTGCCCTGCTTTAAATTCCTGTCAGTTTCTAAAGGCAATGTAGCTGCATTGTACCTGGTTAAGACGCCGTGGTAGGTTAAACAACAAAGAAAATCTGAATTAATTTTGTGCGGCGCTCGAAAGGCTAGATCCCCACCTGGGGTAAATCAGAGCAGTTCCATTGATTTCAGTGGAACTACAGTGATTTCAGGCCAGCTGAGAATATGGTCCTGAAGAGGCAATTGAAGCAGAGAGAGGTTCAGGCTACACGTAAATGGCATCTTCCCCCATTTCTGTAGCTTTTCCCATGAAGTAATTCTACAGCTTCGTATGATTGGTTTTGTCTGGCTTTGTACAAACCACAGAGGAATCTCTCTCTCCTCCCCTCATACCCTACCTCCACCCCTTTGCCAGGGGGAACTGAGGGTGCTCAGCCCCAACAGCAGGTGCCCAGCACCTTGTAAAATTGCCCTCCCCCAAGTGTGCAAATCCTGCCAAGGTGAGCGGCCCAAGGAAAGGGAAGTGCCCTCTCCACCAACCCGCTTGGGGTTGGATGTCAGAGCTGCTGGAGCCTGTTGTCACTTTCGCTGGCAGCACCACATGATGGACTGCACTTTGCTTGTTTAGGTTTTGTTTCCAGCCACGACATTCGACCAAATTATTCTCCATGAAGGGCTTTAAAGTTTCCCAAGTGCCTGTGAAAGCCTAGAAATGCTGATAGTGACCCTATTTCTCAGCTGAGTGGCTACATTCAGCCAGAGCCATATTGATATGCAAAACGTTAAGGGCCCCGGGTCTAAAGATGGTTTCTGTCTGCCTTGTGAAAGGGGGCCATACTTTTTTAAAGCCTAGGCCTTTCTAAAGCTGCACAATACCATATAGACTATGCCATTTAAAGCATCTGAAGCAACCCAAAATGTATTGAAAGCTTGCTTTGCAAACTCATTAAGACTACTCAATAGGTTCTGGCAAATACCGTGCCAGGGCTGACCGCACGGATTAAGACTTTTGAAGTGATACACAAACCCCCTGCTTAAACTAATTGCTGCCCCATGGCTCATGAGGTCAAGTGTTTGTATTCATTGCATTCGAGAGGAGCCATTTGTGGGGCTGTCCAGGTGAAGTCTGCACTTCATTAGACCAGGACAATAAGCTGGAAGTTCCCCGTAGGAAGGGGAAAGGTAACCAAGATGGAAATTTCATGGATCTCTCAAAGGAGAATCATTGAATACAAACAAACTTATGTCCACCACTGCAGGGTTTTTCAATGAAAGAGTTCCCACATGGAATAGTGGCTTTGCAATCTAATATACTAAATGCGGGGAGGTAGCCTTGCCAAATGCTTCATTACAATCTTTGTTGTGCTATCCTAAAATGGCCAGTTCAATTAAAAGGGAATGTAACTTTAATTACATATATCAGTTCAGTGTGTACAAATCTCTGTCGTTTTGGTTAGTACACAATGCTGCAGTTTTTTGTTACTGTCACCCCCTGGGAGTTACTTTGAAACCTATTACTTGAATTCTATGAATTTTGTTACAGGTATACTGAAAGAAAAATTGCAAAGCTGACTGAGATCAGAGAAAATCCACTGACATTTAATTTTCTTTGCCTTCAGCCCTAGATGTGTTTGCTGGGCAGCAAAATTTCATCCTTGCCTCTGACACTGTGGGGATGTATCTTCCATATCCTGCGTTTAAACTTTCACAATGAATTGAACATTAATAAATAGGCCTGGCTTGTCCTAAAATGTTTGTCTCCCTGTTTTGGGTAGGGGGACTTACCTCATCAGTAAGGAAAGAAAAGCAGCAGCAAGAGGCAGAATTGGCATCCAAGTGATGGTGAATTAGAGAGGAGATTGGATAGAGAATGCTCTACCTTATATCACCGGGGCTGCTTGAAATTCAACTTTATCTCCTAAGAGTTCTCCATCGTAACACATTGAAAAATGCCACCACAATCTTAGCAAATTGCTGCCATTGGTTAAACTGTTCCAAAGGCAACGTTCTCCTGTGACACCACTAAAGCATTGCGCCCAGCATGAGAAATATAACGTGCTTCAAACATCCATCAAGTTGTATGGCTAGCGTTTCAATTTATGCAGAATCATTAGCCTATGATAACCCTTAAAGCCAGAGGAATTCCAAACGATTCACTTCTGTTTGCCATCAGTGGACAGTTAACGATTGCTGGTGACAACCAAGATGCAAAGTCTACATTGGGCTGGTAGAATCAAATCCATTGAACGAGCAGTGGTCACTTTTGTGATGCATTGTTCCCCAATTACAAGTGGATTCCTTTCAGCGACAGAATGGGGAACCCATCATGTGTTAACACATGTGCCTCGTGTATATCCTAGAAGAAATGGCCTTTGTCGTCATTTGCTAATGGGCCTAATTAAAAAAGAAAATTTAGAAAAATTAGGGGTGAGATTTTCTAAAGATTTCAGCCAGCTTTTCCATTAAGGCACAACATACTGTAGTTCCCATCCCTCCCAATGGGAGCTAATGAGCGCTAAGAACTTTTGAAAAAAAAAAGTTGATCTCTTCATTTTGGGTGTCTAAGTGGGACACTTAGAAAAATCTGTCCTCAATTGTGGGTACTGAGTACTTATGAAAATCTAATCCAAAATGTCTATTCTTTTTTCCCACTGGCCAATTTCACCTAATTTACAATCACTTTTTTTAAAATTCCTCTAAGCCTGTGGGCATCAAACTTGTATTGCGAAAAACCAAAATGCTACATTCTTTATACAGGCAAAACTCCCCCAGGAGTCATGGGAGTTTTGCCTCAGTAAGAATGCAGCAATTGGCTCTGGAAATATCATAGTATGGTGTGAAATGTATTTGAATGTTGTAAATTATCAGATGGATTGTTTGGCTTGGATTGTGCTATTATATTTTTTTCCCCTTTTCCCTATATGGAAGATACATCTTTGTGTTTATATTTTGTTAACAGAGAGAGAGCTCTGGGTCTGATATCACTCTCCTTTGCTGGAGTTTTCTCACCACTTGTAAAACTTGTATAAGCAGTCTCCACTGGGATAACAAAGTTGGGTGAAAATATGTCAGAATATGATCACACTCAAAAAAAAAAATAACCACTATATTTTTCTGCACAAGATCTCTGAAAATAAAGTTATAAAGAAAATGATGCAGGACTATCGTTTGTTTTCATTGGTGCATTTGCTGTTCTGGACCAGTGTGAAAAATAGACTCTTGTTATTTTCATAGATTTTTCTCCCCTTTTGTCCCTATCTTGAATTTGTAAAAATTCAGATTTTTCAGGTTAGTTGGAAGTCAATATTTATTCTCCAGGATGTCTAGTTATAAAGGAACCTGGCCTCAAAACGTGAGAGAGAGCCTGACATATATCAAACATTTTCTTCCCGCGTGCTACTGACTGCTGTTAGGTCAAGACATTTCCAAATTAGCATGCAAATGATGGTTTGGATAATGTATGTGGACTTCGGTTTGCTCCGAGAAAGCACTATCAGGCCTCCTACAGCTAAAAATGTAAGGATCATGCATACATGATGCAAGAATCATACACTGAGTGCTCCTTAACTAGGCATAATCTGGGCACGTTCCTTCCATTAAACCGTTATCTTGGCATGCCTTGCATCATCCATGTGTGAGCTGAAATTGATCACAGAGAGAGGGAAGGCAAAGCTGAACGTGTTAATGTGTCAAAGGTGCTTTATTGCCAATGAATTCTGGTCATGTGACTCTACAGTGAACTGTAACTAGTAATTTTGTGCCTACTGCATCCTTAGTAATTTTGTTTACATAGATGACAATAATGGTGAACGTTTTCCCGTCACCTCCCAGGGCTTTGGTAATTGCACCTTGCCAGGATTATTCTGTTCGGTGAGCTCTAGGAAGGAAAAAAATTGTATCAGAGACTCCTCTGGCATAAAAACGACATTGCCGTATTCTACACACATTTCCCTCAGCTCTCTTCAACTGCCCCCAGCCCCACAAGTTTTCTACAGGGATTCTGACTATTTAAACATTTGGGGTAAAGTGTCAGTTATATTCAGACTTTCTGGCAGGGTCACCCAGTGATCATGTGACCTTGTCAGTCACAGATCTCCCTGGCTTTCTTGTCATGTGACCTTGTCAAGTGTTTGGACAGAGGGCAGCGTTCACTGTCAACTGAGATTAACTTGCACTGAGAAAGTTACACATATTGATAAAAATGTTTGCATCCAGAGACAATCACAATCTATATCTGGGGTCCTGCTCAATGACATTTTCTCTGGTTCAGTTGAATCCATTAGTCCAGAAGTTTGTTATGGAGTCTGCTCATGAAAATGACCCTATTTGTGAGCTGGCTACACTTTGGTGGGGTGACCATTTAATAATTGTAAGCAAGGCCCATTTGCTGTGGAAAACACTTGGCTAGAAATAAAGAATTCTATGCACAAAGGATACCCCTCTCCACAAAACTCACATTTTACTGTGTGATCTGGCCTTCCTCAATGTCACATGCTACCAGGATCTGCATATATCAAATGCCAGAAGGCGGCCTTGATTGTCTTTCTGCTTTGAAGTGGTGTTGAGCATGCTTGACTCATGGAGTCTGCAAATGTTGATTACAGCCAGCCTATTGAGGAGGGAGTGGAAGAGTGGAATGGTGCTGAAGGAGTCTGTCAGCATGGCTGGTGCAGGAGACAGTGCTTATTTATAATCTAGCTATGGTCACCAACAGGAAAGCAGTTCATCACCACATTTTGCAGCGTGCATCTGATTGGCAGTGCCACCATCACCCCTGGTAAATGATCAGTCATCCATTAAATGCGGCGCGGTCTGTGCAGTGACACAAACACAAAACTTTCATATTCCCTTACACATACAGTGAGTCAGAAAAAACATTTTTCTCTAGGAAAAATTTCAGCTGGAAAACTGTCATTTGAAATTTTTCAGGAGAAATTTTTGAAAGGAAATTTTCATAGGGTTTTGATTCAAATCGAAATTTTCATTTCAAACTGAGATTTTTCCTTGTGGGTAAGATTTTGAAAACTGACCTTTTAAAATAAAATAAAAATTGGATTCCCCCCCCCCCCCCAAACTTTCTTTGGCCACTGAATGTGCTAGGCGGAATGAAGTGGTTATTTTCTTTCCACTTTTTCACATGTAAATATTCAAAACTTCTCCAACTTTGGAAAAGTTTCAGAGTTTCTACTGTGTTTGGTGGCCCCCTCCTCCCAAAAAAGGAAAACAGCAAGGGAAAGGCAGGAAAACAAAAAATGTGACATTTTGAAAATTTTCCATTTTCAAAAACCAAAACTGAAATGTCAATATGAAATGAGACCATTTAATTGTGCAATTTCCTGCACAAGAAAAGGAAAAATAATTCAATCATAAATGATATTTTTCAAAGCAAACTCAGTTTGGTAGCAAAAATTCTCAGTCAAAATCTTGTAATCAGCTGTAGCTATTTTTATCAATGTGTCTCAAATCTCTTTGCAAAGCCATGTGACTATCCTCCTCCTCATTTCATAGGTGAGATAGAAGAGGCACAGAGAAAGTTGAGTGATTTGCTCAGGGTCACACAAGGAGTGAGTGACAGAGTGGAGCATAGAACCTACCTCTCTCTACAGATCAGAGAACAGCCTGATACTGAGGTAGGACACCAAACTGAAGCCATACTAAGATTTCAGTGCAGGATGCTCAGAGTACATCTATACAAAGAACATCTATAAAAAACATTGCATCACAGGGACATAACTATTGCAAAACCACCTGGCTCCAGCCTTGAGAAAGCCCAGGGTGTCTTCCACCCACATTCCTGACCCTTACAAAGATGGGACTTCAGCTCATCTCAAGTAACTATTTCCTCTGCAATCACTTGGTTTCCAATATAGGCTCACTAGCCTTTCCCAGCATGCTTTTCTGATAACTGGCTCTTTAAATTTGAGAGAGTCAGCAGCTGCAGCCCTAGAACAGCCATTTTGTGTCTAGCTGCCGTAGACTGCCCATCACTCTGTCCCTCCCTACTGGTAAGTACTCTGAGATCCTATACCTATGAGATGTCCCTGTGACGTTCCCTTCTTCCTGAGCAAATGGAATATCCGCCCAGGGATGTTTAGAAAACAGTTCTGAACCATAAGATCAGTTGGGCAGTGGCACAGGCTGCCGGGGAGATGTGACCAGGGAGGGCACCATCCCTGAATACAGTCAAGAAATGAGGAAATTAAAAAAAACAAAACAAAACAAAAAAAACAAGAAGAGTGGGAATGATGTGAAGATGGGAGCTAAAAATGCAAAGGGGTCAGGGCATATGGCCCTGGAAATTTCTGGCCCTGATGATTCATGCTGACTGGTTCATATGATCATGTGAAAGAGTTGGGTGAAACCTAGCTTCCACTTAAATCTTAAAAACAGACCACAGGTGAGACTTGAGTGGTGCATAAGCTGCATGCCGGTGGTGGGTCATGAGCAGTGGGTATTGAACCTGGGGGCTCTGGAGCTAATGTGTGAGCTTCTAGTGCCTTAGCTACAAAAATCTAGCTCTCTCAGCTAAGGAGACACTCATCAACAACTTATGTGGACCACCTGCCACTACAGGGGGACAGGTGTCATACTGAATGGGGGTAGCTTACATCTGCATGGGTCAATTTCACTTTGAAAGAGCAGGAGAGGAGAAAATTAGGTTTACCAATGTACATGGCATGCACAGCGTAGGCAGCAGTGATCCCTGTGTGCATGTGGGTTAGCTGTGTTAGCCCCGTGGGCTGCCAAAATCCATTTCATTTTTCTGATCAGGGATTCTGGAGAGAATTTTTTTCCCCCAGCCTTGGTTATTTGAATGGAAATGCAACCTGAGCACTAGAAGAGAGTCTGTTTGCATGGTGATACTTGGTGTAAAATTATCACAGTTTAGGTAGAGCTGGCTGGGAATTTTTTGACCAAACGATGCCAATTTGTAGAAATGGAAACTTTTCATAGAAAATGTATTGGTTTCTAGAAAAAATTTTGTTGGGAAGGTTTCTTGGATCTAGGATGAAATTTATGGTGAAATTGCTTAGGGCATTCATCGAGGATGTGGGGAGGCCAGCTTCAACTCCCTAGTCTGCTTGATTTGGAGTAGGGATTCAAACCTAGGTCTCCTACATCCCAAGTGACTGATCTAACCACCACGCGATTGAGTCAATTTCTGCTGTTGTGTCACTCTCTTCTTTTGGAGCTGTTCCACTCTGTATAATGGACAGTGGTTAGGGTGCTCACTTGGGAGGTGGGAGGCCCAATTCCCTGCTTCATATCAAGCTCATTCAAATTAAACGAGGAGATGGCTAGTACAGAAATCATCTTTTGACAAGATCTCTTCAATTTGAAGACCTCCCACTGCATAACACTAAGAAGCAAGCTGTATGACATGCTTGAGGTATGGGGTCAAATTAGTTCATTGTAGCTCTATTGACATCAGTATAATATATTCACCACTGGCCGAAGTGACCATGAGCCTGTTGAAATCAATGGAGTGGCGGCTGCTTTCATCCGTGGGGAATCTAGCCCACAAAACTTTGGGATGCTCATATAAAAAGCACCGGAAGCCCAATATGAACCAAGGCTTAAAGCTCGGAACATGTCCATGAATTGGGTAAGATACCTGTTTTACAGATGGGTAAAGTGAGGCATAGCGAGCTTAATATAAGTTGCTAAAGGTCACATAGCAATTCAGTATCAGCACTGGGAATAGAACCCAGGAGTCCTAGCTCCCAATCTTGTGGTCAAGCTAAGGGATAATACTTTCTCTATGGGCCCAATCCTGCCGCCTCTATTCAGGATGAGTAGTCCCTTTCACCACAGCTAATCCTACTGAAAACAATTAACATGAGCGAGGATGGCAAAATTGGGCCCTATATGAGTGTTACATACCCTATATGCCATGTTACATTCTGAGACCACTGGTAGCTCGGCCTCCTGCTCTCCAGTTCCTATAACCATCAGCAGCACTTTCAGCAGCTAGGAGATACTCAGTGACCTAGAGCTTCCCAGCCAAGAGCACTCTTGTATCTTCAACTTCCAACGCCGGTAAACAGATCAGCTGGTTGCTGAGGCGAGCAAACCTGTACATGATGTCTACACTGCAGCTGGGACCATGCTTCCCAGCTCAAACCGAGGTGTGCAGAAGCTCTGCTTGAGCTA